GAGATTCCAGTTTGGAAATGGGAACATATCTCTATGGATTTTGTGACAGGACTGCCAAAAACTCAGAGACGACATGATGCTATATGGGTAGTAGTTGACCGTTTGACAAAATTGGCTCATTTCCTACCTATACAAGAAACGTACCCTGTTAGTAAATTGTCTGATCTATTTCAGCGGGAAGTCGTGAGGTTGCATGGCACGCCAGTGTCTATCACATCGGACCGAGATCTGCGATTCACTTCTCGATTCTGGAAAAGTCTTCACCAAGCTTGGGRTABRMGAYTRACTATGAGTTCAGCTTTTCATCCACAAACAGATGGTCAGACTGAACGAACTATTCAAACTCTAGAAGATATGTTACGGGCTTGTGCTCTTGAGTTGTCTGGTGGTTGGGACGAGTCTCTATATCTTGTGGAATTCGCGTACAACAATAGTTGGCAAGCTAGTATTGGCATGGCCCCGTACGAAGTTTTATATGGTCGAAAATGTAGAACACCGATCTGTTGAAATGAAGTGGAGGAACGAGCTATCGAAGGACCCGAACTTGTCTGGATTACTACTGAACAAGTCGAGATCGCAAAACAGAAAATTAAAGAGGCTCAATCTCGACAGAAAAGTTACGTTGACAAGCATCGAAAACATTTAGAGTTCCAACCGGGTGATCACGTCTTTCTAAAAGTTTCACCGTTACGAGGTATTCGTAGGTTTGGAATTAAAGGTAAACTTAGTCCAAGATATATCGGACCCTTCGAAATACTGGAACGTGTTGGAGAGGTGGCATATCGCCTAGCGTTACCTCCTCAACTATCACATATCCATAACGTTTTCCATATCTCGTCACTCCGCGGATATCATTATCACCCTCTCCATGTGATTGATTATCCGTTGGATAAAGTTGAAAAAGATCTCAATTATATTGAAGAACCCGAGGCAATAATTAATCGAGAAGAGAAACAAATGCGACGAAGATCAATACCGTTCGTTAAAGTGTTATGGCGAAATCATTCTGAGCGAGAAGCCACATGGGAAACCGAGGAATCTATGCGAAAGGAGTACCCTTATGTTGATCCCAGATCTCTCAATAACACTAATAATCTAGTTATGAGTAACCAAATTATAGTGATTTTACGAAGAAAGTTATGAAGTCTTAAAGATAAAATAAGAACA